TCGGGGTCTGAATCGAAGTCGGGATCTCCTTTACACGCCCGACCCAATGCACACATCCATGCTGAGAGCTTCTTTTCGGCCTTCTTTAGGTACACCCCACACTTATCAGTTTTACTCTCTCCAGGTTGCTCCTTTAGGGCCCCCATTACTCCTTCCATCTTGAAGATCACCCTTTCTTCCCCCACTCTGAGCATGAGCTGCCTTTACTGAATATCCAGAATTACCCTGCCCGTAGCCAAGAAGGGTCTTCCTAAAATAAGAGAGACCTCCTTATTCACCTCTATGTTCACCACAATGAAGTCCACGTGGAACATAAATTTGTTCACCCGAACTAGAACATCTTCTACTATTCCTTCAGGTATGATTGTGGTCTGATCCGCCAACTGCAAGGACACAGGTATCAACCTGATTTCACCAATCTCTCCCTCCAATTTCCTGAAAATAGACAAAGGCATAAGATTAATGGAAGCACCCGAATCACACACAATTTTTTCAAACTTAGTACTTCCTAAAGAGAAAGGTAAAGTAAAACTCCCTGGATCTCCACACTTTTGAGGTAGCTTGTTTTGCAGAATGGCACTACAATGCTCTGTGAGCTTGACAACCGATGTCTCTTCCACTTTTCGCCTTTTGGACAATATCTCCTTTAAAAATTTACCATAAGCTGGCATATGTGAGAGCACCTCTGTGAAAGGTATATTCACATGCACCTGCTTGAGCACTTCCAGAAAGCGCCCGAATTATTTGTCCAACTTCTCTCTTCTCTGCTTCTGTGGGAAAGGTAGAGCATGCATGCATATGCTCTCCTCAGTCTCCTCATTCATTGAAATTCCATCTTCTTTTTTCTTCTGAGCTTTAGTCTTCCCCTTCTTCTTTAGACCATCATCCACCCACACTTCACCTTTTTGAATGTTGCCATTTTTCTGCTCCTCCACAATCTCCACATGTCCCTTCAATTAACTCGTCCTTTTGCTTTGCTATGGGATCCTCCAATTCGTGCCCACTCCTCAAAGACACCACATTTATTGTCTCTTTTGGATTTCTCTCTGTATCAGCAGGGAGAGTTCCTGGAACCCTCTCAAATAATAGATTAGCTAGTTTCCCCACCTATATTTCCAAGTTTCGAATGGTCGTGCCATGTTCTCATATAGTTATGCCATGGGTTTCAAGCCTCTCATCTGTCTTAATAATAAAGGCCTTCATCAGATCTTCCATGCTAGACTGATTAGACTGCGGAGGATGATATTGCTGCCTCTACTGATTTAAAAACTTGGAGCTCTCTTTCCCTAGGGTCTGGAGTTATTTCGTTGCCATGCATTTGCACTACCACCTGGTGAACTCTAAGAAAAACCTGGGTGCCTATGCCCCATTGAGTTAAAATTATTGCCACTTTGGTAGTTACCTCTGTAAAATCTCCCCACAACATTTACTGCTTTAGCTGAAGCTTGACGCTCATGTGTAGGGTGTCCCATTCCACAAAAGTCACATGCTGCTTGCGGCTCACTCTGTACCTTGGCCAATGTTAACTTTCTTATTTCTCTGGCCATGGTGTCTACCTGGGCTTGCATTGATGTGTTCGAGTCTACCTGGTGCACCCCAACTGATTTTCTTCTATGGTTATCATCTACAAGGCATTGATTTGCATCTTCAGATAATTCATTCAGAATTGCAACAATCTCCTCAGCAGTTTTCTTCATAAGAGGACCTCCAACTGCATTGTTTGGCGTCCTCCTACCAGAGGGCGTTAGACCATCCCAGAAATCTTGGAGTTGCATCCACAAGTCTACTCCATGATGCCGACATCTTCTCATAATATCCTTAAATCTTTCCCAAGCTTCAAACACTGTTTATGTCTCTTTCTTCTCAAAGTTGAGGATCTCTCTTCGGATTTTCCATGTTTTTGCAGCTGAAAAATATTTTTCAAGGAACTTCTTTGTCATGTCTTCCCAGGTTTAATTGACCAAATCGGCAAACTCCACAACCAGTGCTTAGCTTCTTCCCTCAGTGAAAAAGGAAACGTCCTTAAGTAGATAACATCTTTTGATACTCTATTGTGCTGGAAATTATTCATAATCTCATCAAAATCCATCAAATGAATATTTGGATCTTCATTAGGTTTTCCACGGAAGACACAATTGTTCTAAATGGCCTGAAGTAGTCCTTGCTTGATCTCAAAATTATTGGTTTCGATCGGAGAGGGTCGCACACTAGATACTCCTTGGTTGTAGACTGGCCTGACGTAGTCTCCCAGTGATCGTCTAAGCTTGGGCATATTATTTTCAAATTCGTCTTCAACCAGAGGTCAGTTCAGGTTGAATCTTTGTCCTTCATTCCCGTCAACCGTTTCATCCACTCTGAGATCTACTTTAGCATCTGCCAGTGTGGATGCTTCCAGTTGGGATGTTTCCTGTGCAGCTAAATCAACTATCTCCTCACCGTTCTTAGGCATGTTCTCTTGGGTTGAAGATTTCCCCAAGAATTTCCTGGTGGGTTCTTTCTCTTTGCTCAGTTGTCGCATGTGTTTTTCCAACTATGGTTTGTAGGGTATTACTTATTTTGAAGAAGATCGAGTCATACACCAACAATCTTAACCTGTTGCCTACACACGGAAGAGAAAACCATGAAGAATAAAATAAAATTGATTCCTGAATTAGAACCAAAAATTATTTTGAACACTATTGATTGCCAATCCCCGGCAAAGGCGCCAAAATTTGACGAGCGCAAATCACAATACAAAATTGATGCTCACTAGCCAAAGATAGTATAGTATAATTATCGTCTCCACATGGATTGGAATTAAATAAACAACAACAACAACAACAACAACATACCAGTATAATTCCACATAGTGGGGTCTGGGGAGGGTAGTGTGTACGCAGACCTTACCTCTACCTTTGTGGAGGTAGAGAGGCTGTTTCCAATAGACCCTCGGCTCATGAAAGCATAGGTACCACAATAATGACAACAAACAAGACGAGACAATACCGAAAAACCATGTAAAACAACATACACAACAAGATAGTGTAAAAAAACAAATAATTCAAATAAGCCTACTACCAACCAAATACGAGAGTACGTATTAACACTACCGGTATGAATAATCTAGACTACCTAAGCTACTATACTAATCTTCGACCTTCACAACTTCCTATCACGGGTCATGTTCTCAGTCAGCTGTAGCTGTGCCATGTCATGCCTAATCACCTCACCCCAACTCTTCTTCGGCCTACCTCTACCTCTTCTAAGTCCCTCCAATGTCAACCTCTCACACCTCCTTACCGGAGCGTCTGTGGTTCTCCTCCTCACATGTCCAAACCATCTAAGTTGTGCTTCCTGCATCTTATCCTCAATAGGGGCCACACCCACCTTGTCCCGAATAACTTCATTCCGAATCCTATCTAATCTGGTATGCTCGCACATCCATCTCAAAAACATCCTCATCTCTGCTACCTTTATCTTCTGGATGTGAGAGCTCTTGACTGGCCAACACTCAGTCCCATACAACATAGCCGGTCTGACTACCACTCTATAAAACATACCTTTAAGTTTTGGTAGTACCTTCTTGTCACACAAAACACTGGAAGCAAGTCTCCATTTCATCCATCCCGCCCCAATACGATGTGTGACATCTTCATCAATCTCCCCATCCCCTTGTATAATAGACCCAAGGTACTTAAAACTCCCCTTCCTAGGGATGACTTGTGAATCCACCCTCACCTCCCCTTCCACTCCCTGAGTAGCACCACTAAACTAACACTCCAAGTATTATGTCTTGGTTCTGCTCAGCTTGAAACCTTTAGACTCGAGGGTTTGTCTCCACACCTCTAACCTCACGTTAACACCATATCGTGTATCATCAATCAAAACAATGTCGTCTGCAAATAAAATGCACCACGATACCTCCCATTGGATGTGGCGAGTCAGTACGTCCATCGCCAGGGCAAACAAAAAAGGGTTGAGTACCGACCCTTGATGCAACCCCATCATAACCAAAAAATGGTCCGAGACCCCTCCCACTATCCTCACACAGGTCTTCGCTCCCTCGTACGTGTCTTTAATCAACCTAATGTAGGCCACAGGTACCCATCTAGCCTCCAAACATCTCCATAAAACCTCCATCGGGACTTTATCGTAAGCCTTTTCTAAATCGATGAACACCATATGAAAGTCCCTCTTTCTCTCCCTATATTGTTCCATTAATCTCCTAACAATGTGAATGGCTTCCATAGTCGAATGCCCTGGCATAAACCCAAACTGGTTCTCGAAAATAGACACCCTTCTCCTCACCCTTAGATCCAACACCCTCTCCCACACCTTTATAGTATGACTAAGTAGCTTAATACCCCGATAGTTGTTGTAATTTTGGATATCACCCTTATTCTTGTACATAGGAACAATCGTGTCTCCACTCTTCAGGCATTTTTTAGTCCTAAGAATGACATTAAATAACCTAGTAAGCCACTCTAAGCCCGCCCTTCCCACACTCTTCCAAAACTTCACTGGGATTTTATCTGGACCGGTCGCTCTGCCCCTGCTCATCTTACGCATAGCCCCTACAACCTCCTCAACTCTAATCCGCCTACAATACCCAAAGTCGCAATGACTCTCGGAGGATCCAAAATCACCCAGAATAATGTCTCGGTTCCCATCCTCGTTCAAGAAACTATGGAATTAAGTCTGCCATCTCCGATGGATATGTGCCTCATCCAACAAAACTCTACCTTCTTCGTCCTTGATGCACTTCACTTGGTCCAAGTCACAGTCCTTTCTCTCTCTCACCTTGGCTAGCCTAAACATCCTCTTATCCTCGCCTTTACCCTCAAGTTCTTCATATAAACGACTAAATGATGTAGTCTTAGACGCCGTAACCACTAACTTTGCCTCCTTCCTAGACAAATTATATTGCTCATATTCGACCTCTTCTCCTCCTCATCAATGCTTTCTACTAGCTTCAGATATGCTGCTTTCTTGGTGTTCACCTTTCTTTGGACCTCTCCATTCTACCACCAGTCTCCGTTGCGACCACCATTATAACTCTTCGAGACCCCTAGGACCTCTCTGGCAACTTTCTTAATGCTCTGTGCCATAGTGGTCCACATCAGGCTCGTATCCCCACTACTATTCCAAGGTCCCATAGTCAACAACTTAACCCCCAACTCCTGCGCTTTGTCTTCGGTCAAGGCTCCCCACTTGATCCTAAGTTGGCCATACACCGTCCTCTTCCTCTTCTTCCTAATGATCTCAAGGTCCATAACTAAGAGCCTATGAAGGGTCGTGAGGTTCTCACTTGGGATGACCTTGCAATCTGTGCAAAGACCTTTATCGGACTTCCTGCAAAGAAGATAATCAATCTGGGTCCTGGCCACCGAGCTTCGGAATGTGACCAAGTGTTCCATCTTCTTCAGAAAATTTGAGTTTGCTATCACCAAATCGAACGCTCTAGCAAAATCCAGCAGTGAAGTTCCCCCTCCATTTCTAGTTCTAAAACCGAAACCACCATGTACATCATCATATCCCCCAGACGTCGCTCCAATGTGGCCGTTGAAACCTCCTCCAATAAAAAGCTTCTCAGTGTGCGGTATACAATGCACCATCTCATCCAAATCCTCCCATAAACGCCTCTTGACTTCCTTATCCAAGTCTGCCTGGGGTGCGTACGCACTGATTATGTTCAAAGTAAATCCACTAACAACTAACTTAATACTCATCAGCCTATCGTTCACTCTCCTAACCTCTACAACTAAATCCCGGAGGTCCTTATCAACAAAAATACCAACCCTATTCCTGCATCCCTTGCTCCTAGAAAATCATAGTTTAAACCCGTCTGCATCCCGCGCCCTATCTCCTACCCATCTAGTCTCCTGTACACAAGCTATATTAATCTTCCTCTTCCAAAGAATTTTCGCTAACTCTATAGACTTCCCAGTCAAAGTTTCTATGTTTCAAGACCCAACTCTCAACCTAGTGGCTCCCTTACCCCTCTTGCCCCCTCGCACCCAATCCCCCGTAATGACTCTCCCC